ATTACCCAAAGACAGTGAAGTTGATAAGGGCCAAGGGGACTCCAGGGGCACCGTGGCCATCGCTGAACTTGAACCCAGTTACAAGTTCACCATGGTCTTCGCTGAACTTGAACCCAGTTTTGAATCTATCCAAAAGCTATGGATGGTACTAGGAGACTTCAATTTTCCAGACATCTGCTGGAAGAACAATGCAGCCAAACATAAATGTCAGGCCAGTTCCAAAATTGTGTGAAGAAAACCTTCCCTTCCAGAAAGTGGAGAAACCAACTAGGGGATCATCTATCTTGGATCTTATCCTGGCCAACAGGGAAGACCTGGTGGAGGATATGAAGATGATGGGTAACATGGGAGGAGGGAATCACAGTGTGATAAAATTCTAGTTCCTGAGGCAAGGATAGCATGAGATCAGCAACGTGTGGATGCCAGATTTGGAGAAGGTGGATTTCATCCAATTTAAGGACTAATAAGCATGGTGACATGGGAGGAGAGATTTAAGGATAAAGGAGGGCTGGGAGCTTCTGAGGGGCACAGTATTGGAAACCCAACAAGAAACTGTCCTGACAGTTGGAAGCACAAGAAAAATGGCTGCACAAGGAGCTTCTAAAATGTCTCAAATGCAAAAGGAAAGCATACAGGTACTGGAAGAATGGGCAGGTCACCAAGGAAGCATACCAGCAAACAGCAAGAATCTGCAGGGACAAAAATCAGGAAGGCAAAGATAAAGAACAAGCTGCACCTGGCAAAGGAGGTTAAGGACAAAAAGAAGAGGTTCTATAAATATACTGGCCAGAAAAGGACCAAGGAAGCTGTGGTCTGTTAACAAGTCAGGGGGAACTCCTAACTGAAGATATAAAGACGACAGAGCTACTCAATAGCTACTTTGCCTCAGTCTACAAAGGAGATGGTAAGAGAGCTTTTGTTAGGTCTGAATGATTTCCAAGTCAGCAGGGCCAGATGAGCTTCATCCCAGGATCCTGAAGGAACTGGCAGAGGAGATATTGGAGCCCTTGGCAATGATCTCCATAAACTCGTAGGAGATGGGCCAGGTACCAGGGGACTGGAAAGGGGTAGTGCCCCTCTTTAAAAGGCAAGAAGCAGGACCCAGGGAACTACAGACCAGTTAACCTCACCTCAATACCTGGGAAGTTACTGGAGCATATCCTAAGGAAGGCGATTTGCAAGCATTTGGAGAAGGAAAAGCTGATTGCATGCAGCCAGACTGGATTTATGAAAAACAAATCATGTCAAACAAAACAGATCTCCTTCTCTGACAAAGTAACTACTTAGGTCATGGTCTGGATATATCTGGCTTTCAGCAATGCTTTTTGGATAGGGATGTGAAAGGTGAAATGGTTAACTGTTTAACTGTAAGCCCAATGAGAAACTGGTTAATTTACCAGTTATTGTTTAGTTTGAGGTTAAGGTGCAGTCTGGCTGGGAAGATGGGGGAAGGGAAGCCAGAACATGCTCCAGCAGGAACCAAAAGGTGACAGGGCAGGAGAGACAAATATAGGGAGCAGGGGAGAGGGAAAGCAAAGATCGAAGAAGACTAGTATTAGTTCCCCAGTACTGAAGGGAACTAGTTTATAAAGTTAAGGAGGAAAATAGGAGGCATCCTAATGACTCATCAATTAAGCAATTAGCTACTTGTTCACAGGTGCTCCCTCCCTCCCAGCAAGGGGCTTCACTTGGGCTCCCTTGTATGGCTGTGCTTGCCACCACCTCCTTCTCCGCCCCCCACACCAAGGGGCCCCAGGAACCCTTCCAGCAGCTGCTGTGTTATGGGTTAACCACTGAGCCAATATAGAAGAGGTTAAACAAATAATTTTTCAACAATATTTACATTCCTACTTTTGACAAGGTCCCACGCGACCTTCTCAAACAAATTGGAAGAATGTGTGCTGGACACAAACTACTACAAGGTAGACAGATAATTGGCTCGATAGCCACAAGCAAAAGGTAATTATTACCAGGTCCACGTCAGAATGGCAGAAGGTCTGAGTGAAGTCCCACAGGGGCCTGTCCTCAGCCCAGTGCTGTTCAATGCGTTGATTAATGATTTAGATGCAGGCATGGAAAGCTTCTTGAACAAGATTGTGGATGACAAAACTAGGAAAGAGTGTGAACATGTTGGAGGATGCAAGCACAGTTCAGAAAGATCTCAACAGATTGGAAAGCTGGGCTGAAGCTAACAGGACGAAATTCAATGCAGACAAATGCAATATGTTACACCTCATAATCAAAAACACAAATATAAAATTAGCAACATCCGCCTGGATGGCAACACTATGGAAAAGGACTTGGGCGTCTTGGTAGACCACAAACTCAGTATGAGTTTGCAGTGTGATGCAGCCACTCAAAAGGCAGATGTGGTTTTGGACTACATCAACAGAAGCATTAGGTGCAAGACATGGGAGGTGATGGTGACTGGTTAGGCCTCATCCGGAGTACTGTGTGCAGTTCTGGGCTTCACATTTTAAAAGGATGTGGAGAAGCTAGAGAGGCTCCAGAGGAAGGCAACAAAGATGATCAAAGGCTTGGATGGTAAGTCCTACAGAGGAGAGCCTGAAGGAGCTAGGCAAGTTCAGCTCGCAAAAAAGACACCTAAGAGGGGACATGATAGCAGTCTTCAAATACTTGAAGTTGAAGGGCTTCCATAAAGAAGATGAAAACACCTTCTTTTTTTTGCTACAAAGTGGAAGACAGCAGTGTCAACTTAGGGTTTTTTGGAGCTAATCAACAGCTCAGCTGGTAATGTCTCTCCATTCCTCCATTTTTAAGAAGAGTTTGAACTATTAAAAAGGTGCTTTCTGATGGGGTGATAAATGCTGATAACAGAGCTGATAAATGTTCTGTTATCAAGGTGGGGGGGGGGGAACTCCTTCCTAATCCTCTGGGGGCCTGCCCATGCCCTCCTCAGCTCAGTCCTGAGAAAGGGAATGGAGGGCTGCTCTAGTGCCCCCCGGCTTCTAGCCTGGGCCACTGTAGGCATGTGCCTGCATTTCCTCGGTCCAGAGGGAATGTCTGCACACTTGCAAACTGGTTCAGCCTACCCAGGTTAGAGTAACCTGCAAAGATTGGATCAATTCAGGCTCAGGTTTCTGAATATCTATCCCTAGCCAAAGAGGCTGGACAGACACTGGCCGGGGATGATCTAGGTATAGTTTTGCCTATTTTCTACCATGGGCATTTACCATGCTTCTGGGCTTTCCTGGTTGTTCCCTTCCCCCAACCCCACCATTTTTCTGCTATGTGTCAGTGTGTTTTTTAAGTCTCCCCAGAGGCACTGAGTGTTGGCTACAGCTAAGGCTGGGGACTTAAACTGTGGCATGCTGATTCTCCTGATAGAAGCAAAGCTGTAGGTTCCTGGCTAGAGGGTCTTGCCCCTCCACTCAGGGTCAGACTGATCACTATATTTGGGGTCAGGAAGGAATTTTACCCCATGGTCAGATTGGTATGGACTGTAGGGGGTTTTTGCCTTCCTCTGTAGCCAGGGCATGGCCCTCCATTTGAGATCTCTTGCGAGCATATATTGACAACATTTTATAGAAGCAGGACATTGGCCGCCATGGTTCCCCTGCTCTACCTGTGGCAGCTTAGGGCGGTGGGTCTACGTTGTGTCAAGGTTGATGGTATTCTTATGTAGAGTTTAGATTATGGTTGTACGGGATGGTTTTGATAGGGTTGATTCTGCCCCAGGCAGGGGATTGGACTAGATAACCTCCGGAGATCCCTTCCAGTCCTACTTCTCTATAACTCTGTGACTAAGTCTCAAATCTGAACCATTAAGCAGTCAAATGCTATCTGGAATGGAGCAATCCAATATAGCAGCTGGTTCAAACAGGAACAGAAAAGGGAGAAGTGATGAATGGGGACAGCATAGAAGGGAAGAAGGGAAGAAAAGGGGTCTTGCTCAATCCAGGGGTTATGTGTGTGCATAAGAGTTCCCTCATCACGGAGCCATAGCTACAGCCTGGAATGCCATGGGACATGGCTGCCCTACACTGGCACATCCCATGCCCCCTCATCAGGATGAATTCTCCTCAAGGAGAGGGTGTAGGGAAAGAAATACACATTGTATATTTAACCAAAAGCCAGTTCAAGCAGAAATGCATAGCCATCCCTTAGCCCCACAGCCTGCAGAGGGACTGACTGGGCACACCTGTGGCTTTCTACGGGGATTTCAGAACTCCTCTTGCAATCTCTGATACTTTTCCTGACAAACAATAAGAGGCTGATCTCCATATATGTCCTGCCATCACTCTATCAATCCTTGACATTTCTACAGCCCCAGCTGCCATCACCTTCACCCTCCCCTCATACACTTTACTCAGCATGAAACTCACTGGTCTCCCTGACTGCTCCCTGTTCTTCAACTCTGGATGCAGTCATGGAGCTTTCTCCAAGACTCCACTACCATGGGCCAGCTGCCCACTCCCAGAAGTGCCTTCTGCAGCACTTCCAGAGCCGCTTCATTCGCAGCACTTGCTGTGGGTGGAATTCACATTACCTCCATTGTGTGAATTCGCAGTCTTCTTGGAGAAGAGAGCGCCATCCCGACATGCTGGGTTCAGGCAACAGGGCTGCACTACCCTCCCCCAGCTTCCCAGCTGCTACTCCAGTCTAAAGGTTCAAATAATAACCCCAAGCTCTCGTAAGTGCTTTTCCTCAGCAGATCTCAAAGCCAAAGAAGTTGGTATCCTTATTCCTATTTTACCAGAGGGAAAATTTGAGGTTCATGGGGTACAGTGGCTTCAATAGTGACTCCACCCCCACATTACCACTTGTGCTGTGTGTGGCAGGGTCAATGGATCCACAGACATGCTGACCCAGTGTCCCTTCCCTGGACTGCCCCAGCCTGACCCAGAACAGAGGAACAATGCAGACGCTCCTTTATAGCTGCTCTGGTAGCTCCCTTGCACTGCCCCAGGGGCAGAGGGGACAGCTCTCCTGCCAAAGCACCCTGGAGTCCATTTGCCAAGCAGGCATGAGGCACTTACCATCCTCATCTGTCTGGAATATCATCTCCTTCCCTTCCTTGCGTCCCTCAGGGTTGGACAGGATAAGCTTCACGTGAATGTTCTTGTAAGGCAGCAGGTTCTTAACGGTGTAGCGGTTGACACTGCGCTCCATCTTCATGCATTCCCGGAAGGTCTGGTTGTGGCTGCTGCCCACAAAGTAGCGGTAACACAGTGAGACTGTATAGGTGTGGCAGCGGGTCAGGTTGTAGCCCAGTGGCTCCCACTGCAGCGTCAGCTGCCTGGATTGGATCTCTGAGAAGGCGAGCCCTTTGGGTGCCCGCATGGGCTCTGTAATGGACAGCATGAAAGAAAAAACAGGAAACCATAAAATCAGGAGGAGAGCAAAATAAAGCAAGTGAAATGAGTTTAGTGAGTCTCAATTTTGTACCTACTGAAAATCAGTCCACTACTACTCATGAGAGCCTAAGTCTAGAAAAGCTCAACCTTTCTGCTGTGTGGGGAAAGATGAATGAACCGTGAATCTCTGGCATGGGGCTAGATCTGTGCGTTGGATCTGGCCACGTGTGCCAGATGGGGCTTGCAGACCAATCCCATGCACTGGGTCTGGAGCTGCAGACTGATCTGGCAGGTGGAACCATGTCATTGGGGCTGGGGGGCTCCCATGGGTCCAGAAATTTGGCAGTAGGGGAACAGCGGCAGCATTAATTGCCACAGGCCCGATAGCACCATTGGTCTAAAAACAGGGGAGTTCTCAGGACCACCAGTGTTAAGCCTAAAGGGGCCTTAGCCATCTAGGCAAAGGCCCCTTTACATTACTTTGGTCAATGTAAAGGAAACTTAGGCCTTTCGGTATATTTGATTCAGACACTTACAATAGATTAGATTGAGCAATGACACTGACACGGGGGCGGAGGGAAAAGAAAGAAAAAAGGAGAAAAAAAAGGAAGGAGAAGGAAAAAAAAAATGTAGTGTTCTGGGATGGCAGGACAGATTCACGTGCACTACCAAATGGCCTTGCTCTCAGCTGCACTCCCTTGCTTATTTGATGATGCCGCCTATGTTCCTCAAAATCAAGGATCACCAATATTTAGAAGCTGGACAGCAGAAAAGTTTTCATCACCCTTAATAATGGCTGTGTGCGAATGTCCTGTTTGCAGTGTGCATCCATCCCCTACCACAGACCCTTTCCTGCTGCAGCCACAAATCAACTAAAATTGCAGCAAAATTCTATACCCAGTGACTCCAGACTATTTGCCCCAGAAATGGCCAGTAGTGAGGGGAGATTGCATTTCCTGTCATATGAACAAGATCACAGGCCTATGGATGGTGGTTCTAGATAGGTCCCTAGGCAAAAACTTGGCCCAGCTGAAGTTACACAAAGTGAAGCTAGCCATTTTACTTACACGCAGCCAATTCCAAGATTATTTGAGGTGAAAGCTCTTTGGAGCAGAGACCATTCTTTTGTTGTGTGTACAGCACCTGGCACAATGGGGTAATAATCCATGACAGGGGATGCTAAGCGTTAATACAATAACAAACCACCACGTGTGACTATATTTTCATGCACACCACACACTCCCCAAATAAGATGCACCCCTTGTTTTTGGAAGGCAGAACACAGAATTTCCACTCCCCCTGGTCCCCAGAGTCATGGCCAACTGTGTGACAAAGGGCAAGTCCTCCTGGAAGCACAGTGTCCAGGAGTGTGGTATCCCAGAAGACAGTCTGGATGGGGCAGCAGGAACTGCCTAGTGTAGCAGAAGAGCAACACAGCTAAGCCCGAGACTCTTGCAAGGGCAGTAACAAAACTATTACTTCTTCACTGTAAATAGTTCTTTATATAAGTCCCTGTAAGTAATAAAGTATACTCTTTCTACACCACAAACTTCATCGAGATACTACAGACTTCACATAGCAACTCATGTCCGTTGAGCCAACTCCATTGCTCCTTCAAGCACAAACTACAGTGCTCAACCAACAGCGATGGCTGCGAGATGGTTAACACAGGACTCCACTGTTCTGTTTCCTGGGCCAGAGATAAACTTCAACCCCCATGGTAGTCACTATAACACGGTGTCTGTACATGTCTATTCCAGTATAGAAAAATCAGATTCCCCATTTTAGAAACTCAGCCCAATTTTGGAGAGTTAATTTTTGTGGGGAAAGATGAATGCCGTATGCAAATATTTATGGTATTTGTGTAGCCTTGGATAATTGCTTCATTTCTGAGTTCCATCTCATCTGAAATTTGGGGATAAAAACCCAAAAGTGCTGCGAGTCTTTGCCTCTTCTTGTTTACAAAGCACTATGAGATCCTCTGCTGGAGGGAACCAGAGAAAGCTGCTAAGCATTAATTTTCATGGCTGCCTTAACACCACCAGCACCAAGATCTCACCAGCCAAGCCAGGTTCCGTACCACATGTCAACATTTATATCAACGCAAGGGAAGGGGGCAAGCAAAAGCTTCCAGGGCAGGAGATTTATGCCTTACTGTTGTACAAAGTACAAATAAAAGGACAGTCAAACCTATAACACTCCTTGCAGGGTCCTGCTCCAGGGAGCCATGTGTCATCACAGAATCCCAGTTTTTCAAAGTAGAGTTAAGGCCAGAGTTTAACTGTGCATCCAAACAAGAGCCAGGACCCTTCTTCAAATCACTCCTCAATCACTGCTTTCCCCAGGTTAAGTTGCATCGGGGACCTCGAGGATCTTCATCATTTTCTTCGCGTCAGTGCCCTGCATAATCGTACTCCAGAGAAAGTGAACTAGTGGGGTACTCTTCCTTTCTCATCTATGAAGATCTTCCACCAAATGCCAGCTGCTTCCTTTTAAGAGGTCCCTGCGTTTCATGCAGTGAGTGGGCAGGACTGGGAAGCAGGATTGATTAATGATGCACAGCACATAGGAAGGGCTTTCCATGTGGGCTCAAACCAATAAATGTAACAGGCCTGCGTGACAGGAGCCCTCACCTTTTCATCAAGCAAGTGTCAGGCTCTTGAAAGGACATAGACTGAGCAGAGTCGTTGGGGAGTGGTTTAATTAGTTATCATAATTGGCATCAATAGAAGATGCCTGATTCAATGAGGAGCCAAGCTCCTTTGCCAATATCAAATACACAGTTCATTTGTCTCCACAGCAAAGAATTCCCCTGGATTCTTAAAAAATGATGCTAAGGTGGCAGGGATTACACTAGTGAGATAGGGACAGGAGTAACTTACCCCTAATGGCACAGGGACACAGTGGGAAGAGGAGCCTTTGACTGCAGGGAGGAAACGGTTCTTCCACAAAGGTGCAAGTAAGTGTGAGATGGGGTATCACAGGCAGAGGAATCAACCCGGAAAGCAAAGAAATTACCACCCTACTTCACAGACCCGTCAAGGCCCACTGAAGTCCATGGGAGTTCTTTCAACAGCTGAGTTGAGTTTTGGATCTGGTCACATTTGGTTCTCATTAGATGCACCTGGGTTATTATTGTGACGCCTCAAATCCTGCATGTAGGAATTGCCTTGGATCTGCCAGGACTGTCATCTGTGCTGTCAGCTACTCCCAGGATGGAAGTCTATGTTCTGGGGCCCAGTTTTCACAATGACTCAGCATGCTGTGCTGCTGCATAAGGGAACATCTGCCAAAGCATCAGGGCCCCGCTTCCTGACTCAGTTATGCCAAAACACAGCCTGGCCGTCCCAGCACTGCAGTCAAGAGCGGGCTCAGCTTGCCAGACAAACGGACACCCAGGGCTGCACATGTAGATTTCAAGCCACCCTTTTTGCTCTGAATTTACATCCCCAAAAGAACATGGCTGTATAGGGACACCGCCATCTGCATGCCCCCGTGTACCGAGCATGTACCGGATATATCTACATAAACAGAGTTCACAGTCCTGTTTTCTTAACATCCCACCTGCTCTGCAAGGGATATCTGACCCTATGGGGCAAATGCCATTGCAACAATGACTTCCAGTAAGACAGGTAGGGAGAATTAAAAAGGCACCATGTCCTGGTTTTGGGGGAAAGATTCCCCGCCCTGCTCCCAGCAGTCGCAGAGGCAGCATGATGAGCAGAGGCAACTGGATTAGCTGAGCCATTCTAGGGAATAAAAAGCTCCAGTGTATGCCTTGCCCCAGTAGGGGATGGGCAGATGCTGTCATATTTAAAGGACACACTTGTGAGCTGCAACTGAGCTGAGTGATAAGATACAGCATGTTTCTCCAGGGTTAAAGCAAGTCCAGCTGGCTGCATTTTTATCAGGCACAAGGTCAACTGGCAGATGCCTTGGAGCATGCCTCCTAGGCAGTCACTGCCCTGAGATGTGCAGCCGGGAGGGCCCTCTGGCTGCACTGACAGAGAAAAGGGACTGGAGTCCTTACATTTCCCAGGATGCAGACAGGATGTGCAGCCTTGTCTAGTGCTGCAATAGGCCAGTTGCAACACACAGGAGAGAATCCCAGGGCTGCTGGTAGACTGATTCCAAAGGGACTGCACCACAGAGCAATCTGGCCCGGTCAGCGGTGTGAAAATGGCTGCGGAATATAAAACCAAGTGCTGAATCTCTGCTAGGGAAAGAGTATTGCCCCTGCTGCCCTGGACTGGTGTCCGGATCCGCTTCCCTCCCACAGTTATGAGAACAAAGGCCCAGCTCCAGACTTGCGTAAGTCTGTAGGCATTGGATCTATCAAGTTAGCCAACCCAGACTCTGCTTGGCTCACCTGGCAGGAGCCTCCCTGAGCTCATCTCAGCTTAAAGATGCTCTTTGTAGATCAATATCTCCTCAAGGAACTAAGGCAGAGCCCTCGTAAACTCATTTAAGTGGTGAGTGAGCCCAGACAAGGATCGTCAGGACTGGCAGAGGAGACGCATAGTATCCCTGCCACACCACCTGCATCAAATGCACAGCATTGTCTGGATCAGACGAGAGCTCTGCCAACTCTCAGGCAGGCATGTGGGGGCTTTCCAGGGTGCAGAGCAGGTAAGTAGTGCTGATGGAGACCAGCCCACGTGGCTTCCTCAGGGCCTCATTAATGCCACCCCAATCCATTCCCTCTAGGCTGAAAGCCGAGCGGCAGTGAAGTGCCAGTGGGGTGGCAGCTTCTTTCCTGATCAAAGCCCACATGTTCCAGCCAGCCCAGAGTGCCAGCCTGCCTCGTGGGAACAGCTGAGCTGGAAAAGTTTTGTCTCCCTGTGTTGTAGTGAGCCCTGAGGAAGAGATAATGCAAGCAAACAAGGAAAGACCTGCTTGGATGGCACATTGGAGACAGATGTGCAGGCTAGTTTGGAATCACTGCCCGGGGAGGAAAGTGGAGAAGAGGTGAGTCAACTCCCTGCCTTGTC